GTAGTCTACATAAAAGACCATGGATTGAACTTGTACTATAACTGAACTGAGCTGCGTGGAAGCAATCTTCAGGCAACATCTGTCTGTAGGGAAGTCTGTATTTGCAATTAAAATCCAAGAGTGACTCAAAACAAAAGGAAACTTGCAACAAAATGTCATTAAAAGACATCCCTTAGTTCATCAGCACATTAGGATGGAAAGAGCTGGTGGTTAAAAATAGTTGGGTATTGTGGCACCAAGCATTAGAGAATTTATCTGGCAAGAGAACTGTTTTCCGTTGTCATGAAGGTTTGAAGGACTCTAAAAGGAAAGATCCTACTGTGCTGGATTTCTCCTGAATATTATTCCAGTTGGCTGGGTGACATGAACTCTGTGTCACTTCATCAGAGCAATGGGGCTGTCATGAAGCCATTGAAGATATTGTGGTCATTGTCTCTAGCAGTAAAAGGCAGTGTTAAATATGGGTTCGAATTGTTTAGGGCTGGTGATGGACATCAGTGTAGATTGTGTTAACAAGAAATTAGAGAATCAGGTGATGATTAGTCTAGATTGCTGATTATGATCTGAATCACAGCTGCTGGGGTCAAGACTTGTAGAAAAGCAGTTGCTCTTGTTTTCATGATTGCAAGCTTCCAAAACGCATTGGGTTGGTGACTGAATAACAGAATACTAGATGAGGTGACCCTTGGCCTGATCCAGTAGGACTACTTTTATGTTCTGAATTTTCCCCTATACTTCATTCACCTTGCAAGGTAGATTAGCTAGGTGCATATTTTGTCTGGTAGCATTGCATCATCATTTTTTACAAGGACTTTAGCCCTGTGAGGCAATTAGGTTGCTTGGGAGTGAGCTAACTGTTCATCTACGATCTCTTTCCCATCCTTTCCTTCAGTTCCAGGGTATTCCTTGTGTTATTTATTTGTTAGACTTATAACCCGCTTTTCCTCCAAGAGATGGTTAGGCTGCTACATGGGGATCTCCCTTCATTTTATCCCCACAATAGCAACCCAGGAAGATGGGTTGGACTGAGAAAGAGGGACTGGCCCAAAGGAATCCAATGACCTTCTGTGGTTGAAGGTGGGTTGAAACTGAGTCTCCCACCACTTTAAACATTGCACCATACTTGGGATCATCAAAATGCACACCCAGCCTCTAATTCAAATGAGGTTGAATTACATAAGGGAGAAACTGAAGCTGTGCTATGAGGTTATTCCTACAAGGTATATTCTGTCTGCCTACTCTGATGAGTACTCAAGGCAAGTGGTAATTACTACTAAATGCTTATCCCCAAGGAGGACCATGTAGGGTTACCAGAAGAATTGCAGCATTGTTGGCATCAACAGGGCAGGTTGAGTAGGTGTCCAAATGACAAATAAGAGGGAAAAAAATCCACTGTATGTGATGTAGGAGGAGGACAAGTGGGGAATATTGGAGAAAACCAGTTAGAAGAAGTGCATGGTTATGAGAAGGATCCATCTGTTGTTTTCTGGGATAGATTCCAAAATTATTATTCTGGTCGGGAGACTAGGATATGGGAGTTAAGGAAGAGTTAAGTAAAGAGGAAGGAGATTTTGGCTATTCCTGGCAGACTGTCTGCATCAAGGATTTCCAGTCTGGGAGCTGAGAAACCATTAGCAGGATGTGATGTGCTCAGGATGAACTATGGGTGACAGCTGTCCATATTAGGGATATGTATAATTTTGCAAGCACTGAATTTCTCTGGGATGCTTCTGAAGGCGGAAATGGCTCATGGTGTAACACCAAGCCCTAAAGCCTGGCTTCTTTATCTAAAATGCTAACTTGCATAGCTGGTCTGATGTTCCAATTTGGGGAAGAGGAGATTCAAAGATGCTTTGGTAGAAGGGAAGTTATTACAGAAAAAGCGGGAACCCAGAAAAAACAAAAAGGCTGGTTTGCCACATAAGAAAAGATGACATAATTTCCTTCTTCTCTTTTTTTTTTTTCAGTGCAAAACCAAGTATTTTGAAATGGATGAAAGATGATTCTTTGAAAAACAGCTGGAGCCCCAGGTTGCATAGCATAGCAAAGAACAAAGAAGGGAATCTTCTTTGGGCCATTTGTGTAGTTGTGGGAGTGGGAAATGGTTGTCTGCAAAACAATCCTTGCCTCGGTTAATGGTGACTTCACCTATTACCTCTGTAAAAGAAGGCATTGTTTTCCTTTCTGAACCAGCCTGAAGAAATGGGTGAGGGAAACTGAGGCTGGGATGAGTATGTGGAGGCTACTCTTTAGAAGCAAGGTACCCATTCTCCCCAGACCGATGGCCTGTGTTGACCTAGAATCATGCTTTCATTCAGCCTCCTTGGAGTGGTGGCATAACCTCTGAGAGGACCACCTTGAAACAGCATTTCACAGCTGGGATTGTATGCCTGCTCCATGATTGGATTCACCCATTGCAATTCAACCAGAAAGGGTGATACAGAAACCACAGTGGCTAAGTTCAGACGCCCTGCTAAGCCCAAACTAGAAAAGCCACATACTTTACTATGAGTTGTGAGGCCAACCGATTGAGTCAAAATAAAACTGGGTCGCTCCCTATCCCAACAGATGCTGTTACCGCTTATCAGGCGGTAGGGCAGTTCACATGCCATCTAGGTTTAAAAGCAAGCCAGGATGAGGATCTAGGAGTATCCTGCATAAAGTAAGAAATAAATTGGCTGTGTGTTTTTCCTAACCTAGCAGGACAACCTCCTTTCACTTTTTGCTGACTCCGGCACACCTGTGTCCTTCAGCCATGAGGGTTAATGAAGCTAGTTTTTGCCATCTGGTAGCTGTTGTCTTCCTAGCAGGATATATATTGCTCATAGTGCGGTGCAGTTCAGCTTTCACTCTCCTTCCCCTTCTGCTTTTTGAAATGACTATTTTTGTTAGAGTTGTTAGTGCACTGCTAAAACCGTTGCTGTTTTATGAGCATCTGGAGGAAGGATCGAAGAGGCCGCGACTAAAGCTAGCTTTCTGATTGGGGGGGAGTCTTTTCTGTGATCTCATTTCTGCCTTTCTTCTTCCCCTAGCTTTTAAAACTGCATGTCTAAATGTGACTGATATAATAAAACAGTCATTCTGTTACAGCAAAAACAAAATGTTGGGTGGCAATTTATGATTCATGGCTCATGATGGAAAAAGCTTTTGTGGAATAAGGCTACCTGCCTGAAGGTTCTTGCTCTCTTGTAGAACTGCAGACGTGGCGTAATGCTGTTTTATGCCCAGGTTGTAAGAATTGGTTCCAGGCAGATAAAGATTCAGGAGACTGTAAACTTCCCCACTGTCAAAGAGACCACCTCTTAGCTGGATTACAGGAAAGCCTTAGGAAAAAAAATCAGTTTCCCCTCTAATGTGCAGAGGAATACATTGGTTCTAAATTGAAAATAGTTCACTCGCCGGAATTCTTGTAACCCACCCTCTCATCTCAATAAACCTTGCTAAAGGGAACTCTGATGAGAATCCTGTGAGGACAGAACTAAATCCTGCGAGGACAGAACTTATTTCAGTTTTAGGCAATTGATAAACAGCCTAAGATTGTTTGTCCAGGCTTGAAACTGGAAGACCATGTGTTCTGGCCTCCCATTGGCATGAAAGCTGGCTGAAGGCAGGAGCGTTAGGTAGGTAGGCTGCCTTGAGCTGACCAAAAATAAAGGTGAGATTGAAATTAAATGTGTAGACTTGTATAGTGTTCATTTTAGTGAATTCATAATCTTCTGTTGTATTCTGATCCTTAAATTCATACTTACTTTTTTTTTGCTGGAGTAGTTTTGCCTCATGCTGATATCTTAATTACACTGGTTTGCATTCAAGTCTATTCTTTGGTAAATTCATGTAGGATTGAACTGTTAGTTTTGCCCCAACTTCTGCCGTGTTTTTAAAAAGTTGCCATGTTTTCTGATCTCTGTTAAGTCAGATCCTTCTATAAATGAGACTTGAGAGATGTTGGCTGGTTGGTGTGAGATTCAACCATAGGCGTATTTCCTGTGAGTTTCCTGACTCTTCATGGGGAACCAGTAACAGAGAATGCACTCTTCTAATCCTGCACCATGTTACCTTGGAGGCAAATCTGTATTCATCTCCTGATCAGAAAAAGGTCTACCAAACATCTATAATTTGATGTTTTTCATAGTTTCTGATGCAGCAGCTAGATTGTGTTGCTGAAGTCTCTTGTTGGGTCAAAGGTAGGAGGTCTCAGATGCCAACTCCCCTAAGCCCTTTGGATGTACACCCCCGACCCTACATTTGTGGCTCCATGTAGCTACTCAGCCCCAGAAGATAGGTGGTGGCAGCAGTTTACTACCAAGCAGTTAAACCAGAGGAAGAAGATAGAGCCAAAGTGTGTAGACCCAAATGACTTTTGGGGGACCAGGTTTATGATCACCGGCCTTTCATCCAATGGGATCAGCCAAATCCTGGTACAAAGATTTTTACTATTGTAATAATGTCTTTGGAGCCCCTTTGAGGTCTGAAAGGTACATTAGAATATGTATGACCGTTGGCTGCTGTTCTCACAACTGCATTCTGAACCAATTCTCCTTGGAGTCCTAAGTAGTTTTATGAACCAACCTTGAAGTGCTTGGAGTGGGGAGAAAAAACCAGACGGGTTTACCCACCATTTTAAGAAAACACCAGATTGCAGCAGTTTTGTTTGCTTTAGATCTGAAGTCTGGTTAGCTAGGATTAGGCAAGAACATTGACTAGAAGCGATTTAAGTTACCCAACAGCTCCATCTGCTGTCTCTTTTTCTTTTTTTTCTTCCTGTCCAGTCTCAATCTTCTTTGTCAAGTATATCTGTATATTTATTAAGAGCTTTTATATGCCACCTACTTCCCAGCTAGGTTCATTGGCAGATGCTATGCTGAAAGAATTTCTGGATGCCTGTAAATCTCATTTATGCAGAAATCTCATTTATGCTATTACCGTCCTCAATCCCTAGGTTTTTTCCTTTTTGCTTGCTTTCCATGAAGTGGTTTTTTTTTTTCACGTTGTTGCAGGTCGATCACTTTGGTTTTGCTGAAGATCGCACCTTCAAGCAGCGCTACCTCATAGCAGATCAGCACCGGAAGAAAGATGTTGGGTCAATTCTCTTCTACACGGGCAACGAAGGAGACATCACCTGGTTTGCAAATAATACGGTATGGTGCACATGATCTCGTATCCGATTAAAATATTTTAGACGTTTTATGAAGGTTAAAAGATTGAAGATGATTGTTTTCTGAATTATTTTTTTAAAAAGACAACCTTTGCTCCATTTCAGGGTTTCATGTGGAATGTGGCTGAAGAATTAGATGCTATCTTGGTTTTTGCTGAACACAGATACTACGGGGAGTCCATGCCTTTTGGAAACAAATCGTTCACCGTAAGCATCACCCCCAATTCAAAGTTGTCACGGGTTGAGCTCATACATTAAACTATAACGTGGTATGATTTTGGCTTACTAAGGTGGGATCCTACCTTTTATGGCTGATCATTAGGTGTGATCTAGGCCATTATGGTTCATTGGTTGTGTGGTTATAAAAATCTGGCTTGGTGTTACCTGTGAACATTGCCATTTGTTCTGTAGATTTAAAAAAAATAACAGGACTATATAAAGGATGGTATTCTTGATGTTAACTGATAGTAGTTCTCTAGAAGCCATGTCTAGAGATGCCAGGGGGTTGAAATAAACCTAGGGACATCTGATCTGAAGCATCTATTTGGCTACTGAGCTGTGGCATAACTTAAATTGGTGGATGAGATGGTGCCAGTTCATTCATCAATAACAGTGTTGAGGCCACTGGTATAGGGTTGATTGCAGCATTGAGAAACTAGGTAAAGACAAACCATATTCATCGGAAGGCTTGCAACTTTTCTCACCATCTTCCTACAAAAGAAGGAACGGACTTCCACCATGTTTCCTCTGGTAAGAACAGCATTTCTGCTGGACTCCTTCTCGTGGCCTGCCACTAACTAGAGGATGTACCTCTCACAGAAATGCAAATAGAACTTATGATCTGACCAGTGGGAGGAATGTTGGTCACAACCTTGCTCCCTTTTCAGTAACACCCCGTTCCGTGGCTCGCTGCTTATGATGGGTGCCCAGGTACGCGGTTGTGTAAGTCCTACTCTCTTTTTGCTGGGTTTTCAGATTGCTGTTTGTTTCCAGCGCCCTTTCTTTTGAGCTGCCTAAGAAACCACATCTTTGGATGGGGCAGGAGAAATGGGCAAGTGTCCTAAGGATGCTCTACAAAGGTCCTGTGGTCTTGTTTCAGGATAGCAAGCATCTGAATTACTTGACTTCACAGCAAGCGCTGGCTGATTTTGCAGTACTTGTTCAGCACTTGAAGGATACGATTCCTGGGGCGCAGAACACCCCGGTTATAGCCATAGGAGGATCCTACGGCGGGATGCTTGCTGCCTGGTTCCGAATGAAATATCCCCATGTCGTAATCGGGTGAGTGCAGAGCAAGGTGGTACTATCTGCTATGGAACTGCAGAGAACCAGCTAGTTTTTGAATCTAGCTTGGTCTTTCTCCACCTAGCGATCTTTGATTACTATGTTAGATTAGAGCTTGGCAGTCCTACTTGTTGTGCGGTGATGGGAGCTGTAGTCAGACCCATTTGGAGAAGGCTACGTTGGGGTAGGCTGATCTAACGATGTGTTGGAAGAGTTTTATAGTTGGAGCTCTCCTTTGAGTGAGTCCAGCATAATCAAATATGGGGGTTGGTGTGTTGAAAAGGAATTTACCCCGACGGATCACTTTATTCTAACGTGAAGAAGCTTAAAACAGAAGATGAGAATGCTATAAAAACAAAATAGAAGGATGACAGCAATTGAAGGAAGGAGGAAAAGAAGGAAAACAGCAGTTGAAATACCCAGGTGAGCTAGTAGGAATTGACCTTCATCTCCTGCTCTAAGAGTAGCCCCAACCAACTTGGCTTTTCCCATCGCACTGAGGCTGAAGTCGTCATCAAGGAGGTATCTTGTACCACCTAGTCTTTTCACCTTCTCCCCTTTAAACCCAGCAGAATTCAGCCATTAGTGGTGGCACTCAAATTGGAATGCTAATCGGGTACTTTCTTTTGAAAAAAGCCTATGAGAAAAGGGTTGGCTCATCCCACAGCTGAGATCAGATCTGTTGGCTGCTCCAAAGCATGACCACCAGCCTGTTTGGTTTCCACGGATGATTGTTTACATCTGTGTTTCTCAACCTTGGCATCTTTTAAGATGTGTGGACTTCAGCTCCCAGAATTCCCCAGCCCGGTTGAGAAACCTGGTCTAGATTTCCTTTATTATAGATTCTGTCTTTTTTGCTTTCAGAGCTCTCGCAGCTTCGGCCCCCATTTGGCAATTTGACAGCTTGGTTCCCTGCGGTACTTTTTACAAGATAGTCACCGAAGATTTCAGAAAGAGTGGGCTTGGCTGTTCAGAAGCCATCAGAAATTCCTGGGCAGCCATTAAGCGTATTACTGCCACAGGTAAGAAGCTAACAAAGAGTAAATGGAGTTTGTTTTAGTTATTTGATTTTAGTTATTATGATTTCATTTTTATTAATTTAACTATTTATCGTATTTATATAGCCGCCCATCTCACATAAAAGCGACTCTGGGCGGCGTACAACAATTAAAAAGAATAAATACATTAAAAAAAAATTACAAGCAAAAATAACTATGAAAACGAACATATTGATCTGCAACCATTCAAAGGTGAGAGGGTAGAAAGATTGAAGCTGAGGGTGTCTGCAGAGTAGAGTTGAATGCCCATGATTGGAATATACTGGTGTGGAGCCCCAGCCCAGGCAGAACCAGACAGGGAGGCTGGGAAGTCCCACTCGAGGGTCCCGATGCCTGACCCGTTGTACAGTGACCATGCTGCAGCACCTGGCATGTGGGCCAAGGGTGCCCTCTGGTGCCCAGCAGCCATTAGAAGCTCCACCATCTCAGCCTCTCCTCGCCCAGAAGGAATAGGTTTCTTTTCTGCTGGAGCCTCCTCACTCCCCTCTTGGCAAATATGGTTATTTATTTATTTATTTATTTATTTATTTATTTATTTTTCAAATTTAGACTCCGCCCATATTAGATTGATGTCCTGCTTTATTTTGCACAATGGAAGGTGGCGTATATAATGCTCCCGCTTTCTCTTTCCCCCACAGCAGCAACCCTGTGAGGTGGGTTGAGCTGAGAGAGAGGGGCTGGCCTAAAGTCACCCAGGTGGGTTTTGTGCCTAAGGGAGGACTCGAACTCACAATCTTCTGGTTTCTAGCCCAGCACCTTAACTGCCACGCCAACTTGGCTTGTGAAACTTTTTGCCTGTCATATCGGGTGTTTACAGCACCATATTCCATTTGTAATGTCTGTAATGTTCATAACAGTGTTTGTTTATGTAAGTTTGCTGTGTTAATAGAGCTGTATTCTGATTAAAATTTAGTTGGGAGTGTGGGAAGCAAAATTTGTAGCCAGATCTGACATTGTTTCCATTTGCACACCGTGTCTAACCTAATTATTGAATTCTCCCATTTTGTGGTTCACCATAAACTAACCAAACAGGCTGAGTTCACACAGCATTCTCAAACTCCTTTCTTCCACACACATAGACACATACCCAGAACATTTGCAAACCAAGATTAACCCTAACGAAGTCAAACGTGTTCTGATAATGCATCCATGAATGTCTTTTACTGACCTGGGTTGGCATACTGTGTGAAGAAGCATACTGTGTTGACCTTTCCTTCTTCCAAGGGAAGACTGGCCCAGTCCCGGAATACAGATCTCTTGTACAAGCCAATATTTTTTCTTTTCAAAAATATAATAAACTAAAAAACCATTGTAGCCAAGTCCCCACTGTGGTCAAATGAGAAGAGAAAGTATTGATTGGATTCATCATACTTGGATACCTTGAGACTAGATAAGGTGTATACAACAACCCAGTGAGTACTGGGAATTAGTAATGTACAAAACATTTTCAAATTTTGAATGTTTTACACTTCAAACAGCTGTTCTGAGTTCAAAGCACACCTTCAAAAAGTAGGTATGTTGAAACTCTCTTGGGTGTCTTCTGCGTCCCACCAATCCAGTTCTTGTTCTGAATTTCTGCTTCTGGAAAACTCTGAATCGGTGCCAATTGTATCAGTGTAATTCAGAGGACAAATGGCACGTTCAAGAGGTCTCCACGACCTTAAACTTTGCAAAAGAGTTGTTCTGACCTTATTGGAGATACACAACTCTGTTCCAAACATTTTGGAAGGGCATCATGCCCCGGATATTTTCCAAATGATTGGCACTGCATTGAAATGCTTGCAGTAAGGTCAGAACAACTCATTTCAAACTCAAAACAGTTGCTTTTAGCTCAAGATGTTTTGGATTGGAGACGTTTTGCACAGCCCTACCGGGGGTGTTCAGACATGACATAACAGCTAAGTTTTTGGCAAAGAAAACCTGAAAATGTAATTACAGAAGGGCATGGAATAGCTTAATGGGAGGAGAGGTGATGACTGGCTGATGGGAAGAAGGAGCAATTTGCTGTATTTTGCTGAAGGACCCATTTGTTCACATTCAGTGGAAGAGGATCTTTTGCATTTAGTTTTTTTGAAAAAAAAAGTTCCTTGCTGCAGAATTGGCACTGGACCAGCATGTATCAGTTTCTGCTAAAATTAAAAAATGCGGACTTTAAAGGAGATGATCTGTAACACAGTATGTGGAGCCCAGCTCTTCTCCCTCTTGTGAGAATGAAGTAGGTTATATCCTGTATATCAGAGTTCCTCAACCTCAGCAACTTTAAGATGGGTGGACTTCAACTCCCAGAATTCCTGGCTGGGGAATTCTGGGAGTTGAAGT